TGGAAGCAGGAGGATCAGGAAATCAAGATTATCCTTGACTACATGGAGAATTCGAGGCTAGTCTAGGATACGTGAGACCCTGTCTCAAACAAAGGAATGGATGAATAGATGAAGAATAAATAAGCAAATACTAAGACAGTTTGGGAAGAAGTGGTACTTGTGTTTTGGGGGTTTCTCGCTATGACTTCTGTCCGCAGTTGCGGGCTTCGGGCCTGTGGGAGCCCCCAGGCTTTGCTTGTCCCTGGCAGGAGTCGCTGTGCGTGGCCAGACTTACCACCCTGGGCTCTGGTGGCTCCGGGATAGATCGCGCGAGCGGTCCGCAGGCTGCACAGTCTGCCTCGCCACCCGCGTTCTCTGCTCTGGAACGCGCGTCTTTGTGACCGCAGCAACAGGCGTCCTCCCTGGATTGCCAAGTCTGCAAGGCCTGCGGGGAACGTTCATCCGGTATACTCTGTGTCAAAGTAGTTAACAACCACATACGCTGGTGGCTGCCTCCCGATCAGAGCTTGACTGTGCTGTGTTTCTGACATATGTGAAGAAAAAGTGGTTGCAATAAAATTCACAAATGCTACACAGATTCTGTTCCTGTCCATCTCTCTTTTCAAATCTGAGAGGAACTGAAGACTTTCCTGATCCTCTACAATGGGCAGTCCCACCCAGTTCCAGCTGAAATGAACCATCAAGGAGACCATGCCAAGAGCTAGATATGTGTCTTTGTTTGGGAACTGATACAGAGAAGGAAACTGGCCATTATAACTTAGGATAAGATCAAAGGAGCCAAAGGTAAGCTAGAAGGAAAAGCGAATTGGAAAAAATATGGAGACTGAGGAACTGGCATGAAGCAACATCTCAGTGCCACACAAGTGGAGAAGAGATGTGCAGCCCAATTTTTAATAATTTCAATATTAGAGGGCTGGAGAGATGGCTCAGCGGTTAAGAGCACTGACTGCTCTTGCAGAGGACCTGGGTTCGGTTCCCAGCACCCACATGGTGGCTACAAACTGTCCTTAACTCCAATTCCAGGGGAATCCGAAGCCCTCTTCTGACCTCCATGGCATTGTGTGGCACGGGTGCACTCACGTACATGCAGGCAATACACTCGTACACATAAAAGTAATAAATAAAATAAAAAATAATTTCAATATTAGAAAAATAACTGAGCAGACGGAGAGCTGTCATTGTCTGCCACCTCCTTTCCTTTCTCCAATGCTGAGAAAATGTGAGGGAACCCCCAAGTCTCTGCTCACTCACTCTTTGAGACTATACTCAGGGAGAGATGCACAAACCAGTCTGCTCTTTTCATCACCAAATCTCCATCATCCCATTTGCCTCCAGTCTACTCTCACTCACCTGTGGAAATTTGTAGGGTTCCAGCAGTGGACCAACCTGGGTAAAAGTGTCCCATAACGTTCCAGTAAGTACTGCCACAGAATTGCTCTTGCTCCCACAGGTGTAATTAGGGATTTCATCCTGTCTCATGAGCTAAATGAAGGAACTCTCCAATATTTTCAATTTACTGTGCACGATATTGTAGAACTCATATCCCAGAGTGATATGTTGGTTCCTGTTGATCTCTTCAATGGCAAACACCAAGGCCAGTACATAGTGGTAGTTGTATTTAAACCTGTACAAGACACAGGGAAAAAAATCCAGTTGCGGGGGCAGGAGAGATGGCTCAGCGGTTAAGAACACTGGTTATTCTTGAAGAAGACCTGGGTTCAAATCCTAGCACCCACATGGCAGCTAACAACTGTCCATAACTCCAGTCCCAGGGGATCTGACAGCCTCTTCTAACCTCCGCGGGCATTGCACGACACAGGTGCACTTACCTACATGCAGGCAATACATGCATACACATAAAATAAAAATAATAAATAAAAATTTGAAAAATCCAGTTGTGACTATCTTACATGCCTGTACAGCAAACTGTGTGGCGGTCATTCTTGTGTCCCCACAAATTCACATGCTGAAACTCTGAAAATATGGTGGTGTTATTAGGTTGAATTTTGTAAGTTAATTGAAATTGGATAAAATTATGAGGTTGGGTTTCTCATGAATGAGAAAGGCTAGGTTCGTGTCCTTGTACTTACAAGAGAGAGAGAGAGAGAGAGAGAGAGAGAGAGAGAGAGAGAGAGACACAGAGACACACAGAGAGAAAGTCAGAGAGAGAAAAAGAGGAGAGAGAGAACTTGTCTCATCTTTCTGTGATGAGAAAACACATTGTCAAGGACCAAGTAGCAGGAATTTCCTTAGACTCCACAACTGGTACTTGTAAAATCCAAATAAATCTGTCATGCGATCTTCAATGTCACACCTGAGAGTATACTTGAAGGAAGAACTCAGTATATCACAGAGATTCTTGACCATCTTTGTTTGTTTGCACAACTTAGAATGGCCATGATGTATAAGCCTGGATGCCCATAAGCAGATGAATGGATAAAGAACAAGTCATGTACACAAATAAGAGTGAAGCGATGCCATTTTCAGTGAACTCGATGGAACTGGTAATTAGCAAGGTAAGCAAAGTAAGTCAGTCTGTAAACAGAAACATCCTACATTCTTATCCATATGAGCAATCTAAATTAAAATTTTTAAGGGGGGGCTGCTGGGGAAGAGGGAGGCTTTGTAGCAGGAAGGGGAACAAAAGAGGGTAATCGGGGTGTCAATAAAGAAGAATATTGTATGTTTCCTCTCATATGCGAACCCTACATGCAGATAGCTGTAGACCGCAGAGTTGGCCAGCAGAAAGGGCTGTGGGAGAAAAGTGTGAATGCAAGCAAAGACCAATGCTGCACACGCACGAAGACGCATAGTGAAATCGTTTATTTGTACACTAACTAAAAGTGAATTCGAAACTCACTAAGAATGAAATATTCAATGTTTAATGTTCCCAGTTTTCAGGGTCTTTTTTCCAAAAATTTCATTACACTTAGTATGTGTGGATGGTGGGAGCACATGTGGCATAGAACACATGTGGAGGTCACAGGACAATGTGCAGGTCCTGTTCTTTACCATGTGCTTCTGGGGATCAAACTCAGATCATTAGGCTTCGCAGCAAGCTCCTTTAACCCTAAGCCATGTCACTGGCAGTGAAACGCATTT